ACACAACATGGCCCACCCTCAAATGTTTTTTTTAAAATATTAATATGTACTATTTCTGAATTTTGGCCTACTCTATCAGAAATATTAATTGCAATTAATTGTTATTATAGCCTACCCTAACAGAAATTTCAGGATCTGCCCCTGGTACAACCCCCTTGGTTCGCCCTTATCGCTAGGCTACCCATGGGTAGAATTGTACTTTTAATGATGCATTTTTAGCTTAATTAAATAAGCAATGAATTTTTTAATTATAGTAATCTTATTATTTGGAGCTTGGATACTATGGCTTCGTTTGGCTCAAGTTTGGGAATACTACATTCCCAATAAAGTTAAACAGTAAAATACCCCAAAACTCACAATATTATCCAATATTATTCAACTTTTTTTAAACCCCCCAAATTTGTTAATCTAATTAAATACCCTTAAATATTTTTTTTCAAAATTGCAAAAACACCCCTAAACCCAAATTATGCCAGATTCTGGTCACCACTTCCGGAAGTTGGCCGGAATCTGGTAGGATGGCACACTACCGGCTAGATCTTGCCGGTAGTGCGCTGATCTAGCCTTTTTCAGCCAGATCCACGGTGGATCTGGCTTTGGCCATAACCAGTCGTCAATGACGGCCAACATATGGTTATCGTTGACCATCAATGATGGTCGTATCTTTGGCTATCGTTGAAGAAAATCTACGGCCAGATCTGGCCGTAGATCTGGCCTTTGCCGGCCAGATCCACCATGGATCCGTGGATCTGGCCGGAAAAGGCCATATTGGCGCACGACCGACAAGATTCAGCCGGTCATACGCCGATACGGCGACTCCGGCCACCCTCCGACGGTGGTGGTCGGCTGTCCGTATTTGATGGGTAAATTGGGGGTGTTTTTGTTAACTTTTAATGTTTTATTATAGGGGTGTTTTGTAAAAAAACAAACATATAGGGTATTTTATTAATTTATAAATTCTACATCGTAATACCTGCCCAATTCAATTTTTTTTTAACTTTTTTCAAAAAACTTTTCCCAAAAACGTAAAAATGTGAACCAAACGAAGCCTATACGTTTTCAATTACTTCAGGATAACTACACTTGAGAATTGTTAAATATTTTTAAGAACCTTGTATACAATAAAATGTACAATAATATTGACATATAAACGAAAAATAAAATAAAATACATTTTTTATTTTTTTTAGAGTAAATACATTGAAATTATTGATATTTATTGGAGTGGGTAAGCTTTTGGTCCATTTTATCACTTTAATCTCAATTAAAAATCATTTAATATGTAGGGACAAGCTTCATTAATTTAATTTCTATATATTGTCCTATATGCTTATTTTCATTATAAATTCAACTACATATCGATCCAATGAATTATTAACCGAATTATTTGTTGTCCTATTGCCCTAAAATGGAAGCCTCCATTTGTGTACGGACAATATACATTTAATGATTAAATCATTAAATTAAACTCTCACTTAATTTATATGTCGACAATACGAGAAAATCTTTATAACTGTGTATAATGTACTTCGTTTGTAAATATATTACAACAGAAATGTGAAGAAGACTTTCTTTGACGATAAAAAAAATAAATGAAACATTACTTGCAATGAGAATTTTGTATAATTTTTGAGATCTGTAACATTATATTTTAATTTAAAAGACTTTAAAATCGTTGTGATAATTTAAATGATGATAATTAAATATGAAAAATATGAATTACTTTTCTTATGATTTTATATCACCAATTCGACAATATATTAATATATAGAAAAATAAATTGATGTGTGGACATCTATATTTTTCTTTTTAATATTTTAGACTCTAGTTTACAAGCATTGGTTACATATAAAATACAAAAATTTATAGTTTTTCATGAGGAAAAAAAATATTTTAGTATTATGGGGTTTTCTTTAGTTACTAATATAATAACTATTCTTTTTTTAACGCGCACTTTGACTAATCCTTAGGGGAAGTTATCCCATAGCAACCTACTGTTGCGACCATCTAAGTAAATCATGGACAAAAGTATGACCTTTGCATCAAACGGGAGAATCGAACATGGGATTGTAAGTTAAAGTCTTGCACAACTCCCTTGGTTTGCCCTTAAAGTTGGGCTACTCATTGATGGATATAATAACTATTTTGTTAAATACTTCATGCAACTCTAATGTTTAGGTGCTAAGTAATCATGATAATGACTAATCATTTTATCTAAGTACTAAATTATTATATGATGGAGCCATTTGGATCGGGTTAATATTAGATAACTGGAATAATATTTTTTAAATTGAGTAGATGACGATGTTAGGTTGGTTTGTAAAAAATCATTCTTTGAATATTTTATGACAAACAGTAACATTTGGGGGGTGTATTTTCGGGAATCTTAATACCCGGGGGGGGGGGGGGGGGGGGGTGCTGGGTTGTTATTAAAACTTACCTTGGTATTACTATTTTTTTTCCCATGTTGCCCTTAAACACCCATTTTATGACAAACAATCGAGCATTTGGTCCAAATTAACCTTATATTTGTTAATATTTACAAAACACCTAATCACTTATGTAGACACTTTTGTCCTCACTTTTTGAATTTTTCGGACCACGTTGCCCTTGTTATTGTCATTATTTACAGAAATGTCATTATACCCAGAACTAGCCACCATCGAAAGCCACCGTTGACCACCACCAAAGGCTCCCAAAAGTCTCATAATGGCGTACGATCGGCTGTATATGGCCAGTCGTGCGCCGGTGAGGCTTTTTCCGACCATGCACAGATCCATGGTCGAAAAAAGCCAGATCTAACTGTTTCACGGCCAAGGATGTGGCCGTAAAACGACAACTGATCTAGCCGTGAAACGGTTGGCGTTTCACGGCCAAAGACCTAGCAATTTCACGACCAGATCTGTGACACTGCCAGCATCACGACCAGATTTGTGGCACTGCCAATGGTGATGGTTGATTGCTGGCAGTGACTTGGGGTGAGTATGGGTGTTTTTGTTAAGTTTAAAATGTTTTTTGTTACTATGGTGATTTTGCTAAATCTGAAAAGTATGGGGTTAAAATTTTTTTTTCAAAAAATAATTATAAAAAATACTATTATATTAATATTTAAAAAGAAGGGCAATTTAGTAATCTATATAACATACACACATATTTATCTTCCCAACCAAACATATTTTCTAAACATTCTCAATAATCTTCAGTGTGATCTTCTGTTCCGTTAATATAATATCTCCGATAATAAAATATTAAATGATTGAAACACCCCCGATATGATAGAAATTCAAACCTAAAAGATTAGGCGATCTATCAAGTGATGTTACCTATTTTAGTTGGTACTTCCCTGAGGTACTTGACCCTCTAATCACGTTTAATTCCGATGACATTTCTTAGACGTATTTAATGTAGAAAATGAGAGAATAGACAGTTAATGAGAACTCAATATCACTTGTGGGGGGAGTGGACCATCAATCTAAGAAGTAAGGATGACCACAAACTTAACACCTAGCTACCTCGTCCTGCTCCTTTTACTCTCCACCGCTGTTTATTTCTAACCCTCTTGTAACGTCTAAATCGTACGCCCATTTCACTTGTTTCATGTAGAGATGATGATAACTTTATGATAATCCAGCTTCATCAGTCACAATTAAACGCTCGTAATCAATCCAAAAAAGGAATTCTTGAATTGGGTCGACCCAAAAGGACCCGAGCCCATCTCTTTTAGCTACCGGAATATGGCCTAAATTGTTGAATTGGATCCAAGCCCAAGCCCAAACACAAGAAAGCCCAATCTCCTAAATTTTATAATTAATCAACAGATTTATGCCTTTATGATAAAGTTTATTGATATTAGTGAAATGAAATTAACTTAATTAATTCCACTCTCTCATGCAATCTAATTCTCAAAATCACAAGGAAAATATATTTTAATTCAAAATTAAAAAAAAAAAAAAAATTTAACATTGTATGAATGATTGCATGAGATAGTGTAATATTATCGTAAATATTTACACGTTTAGTTGTAATAATTTTACTATTAAAAGTATAACATTACATGTCATGTCACTGATACAACATTTTATTTTTTTTATTTTTTTTGATAATTTTATTAGAAGATATTTTCAATTTGGATTTAAAAACATTTTAAACATGGATAATATATTTCAAATAATGTTTTCAGGAACTATTCATTCATTGCAAGTTTACACATCCGATATTTATATTTTGGATTATAGGATTTTTTGAAATGTGGAAATTATTTTCCACACCATGTTTTGAAAAAGTATTGTTTCTTATCCTCAAATTTGGACAATTAATTAAAAAGTGAAAATGATTGCTTGAAAGCAACAATTCCCTAACATGTGAAATAATTTTCACATTTAATAAAACAAAAGTGTTTCCCAAAAAACACTCTTCCAAACCTTGAATCAAGGAATCTTGCAATGAATCCAAGCATTCTTTGATTGATTCTAATATATGCGCAGACATTTTAAAGAAAAATGTTACAGTTATCGACGGATTTGCACTGAATTTGTACACCAAATGACGTGACAAAATTCTGACATTTGATTTATTATCCGTTAATATTAATCAACAGTCAGGATTTTGCAACATCATTCGGTGCACAAATTCGATATAAACTTTTCGATAACTCTTATCATTTTCCAATTTTAAATTAAGAAAAAAAGTTAGCATCATTATATTTGTAACGTGTAAAATTATATATATGTATATATAAATGATTTCTAATATATAATTTATCAAAAATCATATGTTATAACTTATATAATTACATTATTTTCAATCTTTTCAAATAAATCCCAAAGAAAAAAAAAATTATAATAAATAATTCTAATTATTTATGTCTTTCCAAGGCAATATGCCCTTAATTACACCAATTAATTATAAAATCATTAAAATTTCACTAAATTAATTAAATGGTTTAATCTCATGAACAAGAATAGAAAATATTGGGAGAGAAAAATAAATTATATTCCTTTAAAGGACAAAAATAAATAAATATTTACACAACAAAGGAACCCCCAAAAGGATTCCAAGATCCTCTACAACAAAATCCAAAAAGTAAAAAGTAAAACTTATTCATCACCATCTTGATCATGATCATCATGATGATCAGGCAGAGAAAACTCCATTAGAAGCAGCAAGACTGAACTGGCTTTTGGGCTCCATCTTGATCTCTTCACCATTCATGACCTTGCTCTTGATTTTGCGAGCCAAATCTGAAACATAGGAAGAAAAAGAAGAACCAGAACCCATCTTCATCTTCACCTCATAAGAAGAAGAAGGAGAAGAAGAAGAAGCCATCTTCGTCTCCATCTTGATTCTTTTAACTCTTCTTTCATACTCTTCTGCAACCAGCATTGCAATGTCAGCCATTCTTCTTTCTTTCTTTCTTTGAGATTATAAAAAATTTCCACAGCAGGCACCAGATTTTTTGCGTTGTCGGTCTAGTGATGCTGTGGAGAGCTATTTATAATTTTATATAAAGATGTCAAATGGGTCATTTTATCACGGAAATAAATGGATAAGGCTGACAGATAGTGCAGAATTTTTTTATTGTCGTGTGTTGGTGAAGTGGTTTTGGACATGGGTTGGTGGCTTCATGTTTCAATGGAATTCAGGAAATGCAATCTTGTTAACTGTTAAGTAACGGTTGAACCTTTTGAAACGTGTGAACAGTGGCCTCTTATTTTGTTTTTAATTTTTTAGAAAAAGATTTACATTGAAATTATTTAATTTGTTATATTTTTATATATTGAAAGGGTTATTATCACGCATCTTCCATGAAGTTTTCGATTGAAACACTCACATTTAGCATGATGTTAAAATAGTCGGGAGTTTGATACTACAAGATTTCTTAGTTGCTTTGTTTGGGTATTTATCCGTTATCTTACAAAACAAAAAATATGTTTGTTTTAATATTTTTCAAAATTTAAGTTTATTTGATTCAACTTAAAATATTAATAATTACTTTTCTCAATAAAAAATTTAAATGAATATAAATACTCTCATCCACCAGAGCCACTATCACCTACTAACAACTATTATTGTCGGCGTCATAACAAAGCATATTGGTTAGATTTGGTCGGTTGTGCGTCGATCTTTCTTTTTTCAGTCAAATCTATGCTTAGAGATCTGGCTGTTAACGGTCAGATCTGATCATCAACGATGGCCAAGACTTGGTCATTATTGATGGCCAAACAGCGAAACAACGGCTAAGATACGGCCGTTATCAACGACTAGATTTATGGTAGATTTGATCGAAAAAAAGTCAGACTAAGATATGACCGTCATCAACGACCAGATTTATGGTAGATTTGATCGAAAAAGTCAGATCAATGCATGACCAGCCAAATCCAATCGATCGTGCGTCATTCTAACGACTTTCGATCACCATCTGGCAATGATGGTTGCATGTTTGCAATTATTAGGTTTTTTGTTAATTTATATATTTTTATTGTAGGGGAATATTTATCTAAATTAACAAATATAAAAAGTTAAAAAATAATTTAAATATTTTTAAAAAATGTACCAAAGATAATCTCATAATCCAATTAAATCTTTATCAAATGGAATACTATTTTAAGAAACTAAACAGACGGAGTCAGCGATATTTTGCTTATAATATATTATTTTTAACTTTGAAGAAGCATTTCTTCTAGAAAGCGCTTTTAAGTTAAAAAGTGCTTTTAAGTTATAAGCATTTCATCTTTACTTGAACACCAAGCTATGAAAACTTCTTTCGGTTACTAGAACCTTCACGGCTAAAGCAACTTTCGTTCTCTCTTGAGCTCAACGTTTGGAAATTTTGAGGAAACTTCAACTGAATTAAATATTAATCCAAGTGGATATCCTTAAAATAATTTCTTTATAATTTTATTATTTAAAAGAAAAAAAATCCAAAAATATTTATAAAAAAAGGAACAAGTGGATGAGATGATATCTTGTTAAGAAAGGGTCATGGACGTTCTTTTCATGGAAGTTGAAGACCACTTAGTTGAAAATTATTTTAAAAAAAAATAAGAACCCAAAATCCAATATTTATTAAATTTTGTTTTTTTTAATAAATAATCTAATCCTTTCATTATATTATATCATATTCAATCAACTACTAATCTATATTCATCACTAAGTTAATCACTAAATTTGTCCCTCTCATCAATTTTGCCACAGATTGAATGGTTCGTATGAGATAATATGGGTGTATTTGATTTATTATTCTTATCATATTCAATTCAAAATATATATTTATTTTACTATTCTCAAAATTCAATTTAACTAAACACGTAATATTAAAAGTTTTTAAATTGATAAAAACACTCTCACCCACCCATCCACATATTCTCGACAACCAATGATCGATTGTCGATATTTAATGAGTGTGTGTGAATATTTTTGTTAATTTTAAAACTTTTATTGTAGGGAATGTTTAATTAAATTAACAAATATAAAAGATTAAAAAATAATTTTACAAAAAACATTTTCAAATTCGAATTCTATCATTGTAATAATAACTTAATTTATTTTTTTTTTAAATATTATTCAGAATAATAAAACAAACACATTCAACTAATATTGATAAAAAAAACACCAACTTCAAGGATGAACTGTCTAAAAAAAAAAAAAAAAATTTAATTTAGTTTAATTATTATTTTGAGTATACGGTATCTGTATTTATAATTTTAGATTTGACTTTACTTATTTATTTTTCTCATATTTTATATTATTTTATTTTGAATTCTTTAATTAAAATTAACGTTATCGGCTAATTGACAAGTGTCAGAAGATGCAGCAGAGGTGGTTTTGAAACAACAGGGGGTGGTAAAACAAACAACGAAAACCACCAAACAAACACAAAACCAAATGCCAAACTTTTCTACAGTTTCTAGTCACGAGATTATAATAAAATTAAAAACCATAATAAAACGAAAAAGACAAAATAAACCCATTTGATAAAAATTTAGAGAATTGATTATTCTGGAAGCAAAGCAAAAGGTTAAGATAGATAGATGTCTCTTTTCTAGAGGTACACCGTTTTAACTTTTAGGCAATTTCCACTCATTTCGTCTACAGTAAATAAACAGTGTCGGCAGCTTTTTTTTTTTTGTTTTTTTTAACATTTATAAAGAGGATCAAGTAATTGGGAAATTTTTATCTTATGATACCCCCTTGTGTATAGCCTTTTTTTAATTGAATATTTGGTGGATTCAACCTAACCTTTAAAGTTTTTGGTAGTGGACATTAACTGGTTTCGTAAATGTCATATTCAACCTTCAAATTTATCAATAATTTCATCAATTTAATCTCCAAAAAGTATAACAACCATTCAACATTATCGATAAATTTTGAATGTTAAATTGATTAATTTTGACTAAATAGTAAACACGTTATTTCCTACAAACTTAAGCAGAATAACCTAACAATCGTAAAATTTGAGTTAAGTTCATATTTCTCATACCAACCACACATGGATAAATCCCTTAAATCACTCCCATTTTCTAGTTTTTGCCCGAATTAAAAGAGCTTTTTAATGTCAAAAACTCTTTTATAATTTTTTTTTTTTTTTTTTTAGACAAAAAGCTATTCTGTTTGGTTACAATATAATAAGAGCTTATGAATTTTTATTTTCCACTAATAATTTACAAACCATTATAATAATGTGAAGCAATGAGGCTTGTCGGTGGAATACAAAACCCACAAAAAATCAAGACAAAGATGATTAATTAAAGTACTAAGTATCTATGATCTAACCATCCAAACAAAAAACTTTGAATGTGGATAAAATCAAACTCTATGAACTAATCAATCATGCCCAGCAAACTTTAATAATTTCATATTAGTTTATCAAATTAGTTCACATGGTAGGCACATGGCAAAGCTACACTTAATTCTATCAATAATTGAATCCATACATCACATTATATGTAGGTCTCATCAATGTTGAAAAATATTACCCCTTTAAACCATAGTAAATACCATCCACCTTTGGTATCCGAGGAATCAATGGATTGAGTCTAAAAGTTGACAGGGCCATGATCCAATCTTCTGATTCAAAATCGTAGTGTAACGTATATCTCCTCCTGTTCCGGTCATGGAATAGATGAAATAAATCAAAAAATGGATTTTTATTTAAGAATGAAATCTTATTGGACCTGTCCATATCCAATTCATTATTCGGAACCATATCATATCACGGATCTGATGAATTAGGATGAATTGAGACAATATTTAGTAAATACGTAATTATCTTGAATATATTAACTATTTCTTTATTTTTCGATCACCTGGGAGGAACAAGTTATTCTCCACATGAATCATTGAATCAAGATCTAAAAGTTGACTGAACTATGATTCAATGGTTCGGATGGAGGACATAATATAATCCGTCGAAGAACTTCTCGAAAGTACTTCCAAGTGTTCTTCCAAACTCGGTGAACGTAATTATCTATACAATAATATACTTTTGACTATTTATCAAGGAAAAACAGGAAGGTTCCCTCTAAATATTTTACACTTAAGACGAAAATCAACTATATTGATGCATTATGACTTCAACCAAGGGTTCATCTATACAATCCGAGTTGACTAAACCATGATCCAATGGTTCGTATGGGGACACAATATAACCCTTCGAAACAAAATACTTCTCAAAAGTACTGCAAGTGTTCTTCCAAACTCAGAAAATGTATTTTATCTATAAATCAAAGACAATATGTCATATTGCTAGCATGTTCCCCTCACAATCTAAGATGAACAAAATTTCCAGCTCCATGATTCCAGACAGAGGCTTAAAATTTTCTATTTCTCTAAAAATGCACTCAATCAATGTTCAATAGTAGCTAAATATCAGTTATGAGTGTTTTGAGCATGAAGAGCAATCTCTAATTCTCTAGTTTCAAACAATCTAGAAACAACTAACTTAATAGGAATTAAGCAAGGTTTCTCTTGTTCATCCATCTGGTCAAATACTGAAGACAAGATCAAACAGAGTTAATTCATGCAAATAAACATTTTAATATGTGAGATGATGCTGAGATGAAATACATAATGAGAAAATCTCGAAAACTAACACGATGAAGCAATTTTTCACATAATATATCATTGAAATTCCTGTTGTCAGTTATTCATGAATTTACCTAATCCAGTTTCCTTACAATCACAGAAGTGCACGGTCACAATTACAGGAGTACACGGGGAATATTACAGGAGTAAATAGCAAAAGAAAGTACAAGGATATTTTTCACAGATATCATTCGCATATTCATATGTATAACTGAACATCATCAACAGTACCTTTAATTTTTTTTTACCCGGCAGCTGTTTAAGAATCATGCCTCAAACTACATGAGTCAAAAGCTCATAGTAGAGTGGCCAGCTGAAATAGACAAGTCAGTCTATCTTTGCATTATCTTATTCGTGTAAGTCATGACTAAGACTCCTTCAAATTCATAGGAGGCCCAGTCCTTTCAGTTGCTGTACATGCTCAGTTGGGAGAGGTGGAGGAGCCCAATCAGATCCCGTCATCTCCCCATCAACATCCTCAACAACATATTCCTGGAAAGCACAAAAGAGCAGATTCACAGGAAAATCAATTTTACAATCCACTACAGAGAGTAAACTTACATATAAAAAGATCACATACATTTTCAAACGATATTTCACAAGCATCAATACTTCAGAAAATAAATAAAAGCCTTCGTTAAAAACATAAAGTCAAAAATCATAATTTTGTCAAGGTTCAGCGCCGGCTTTAAAAAGTCAACTTTAAAACAAAATTGTAGAGGACATCTAACACCTGTGGACTTCATAGAACTTTGAAAACCAGAAATAGGTTATTTTGAAAGAAAAAAACCCTTCATAATACGTGAGTGAACTTGTCAGGTACAAGTATGAATTTATACCTTTTTGTGATATTCAACATGACCATTTTTAATAAGCACTGAAATTTTATGACTACTTGCAAGTAAAACTAAAAAGAAATTCTTTTCTGCAATCTCATCCTAGAGGTTGGTCACATTTTTCCACTTCAAATATATTCTGTTAAGCCTTATCCAAGCAGTTGGAATACAACTTTACTGAGTGGTTCTAGGTTATGCATACATTGACAGATCACTTTAACTATTGCTGCATGAGGAAAATAGGTTACATGTCATTGTCAACCCAACTCACTTTTGTTAGCATGCGTTTTGCAAGTATGTGATAATGCCGTTGCCAAATTCGTTGACCAACCATTGTAGCCACCAAAACACTGTAAAATATGCCAATCACAGTAAACAGTCCCAACACAATCAAAGCCATTATGAACAACAGAGGTAGCCCTGCTTCACCAGCACCTCCTAAACAACCACATTCACTGGCTGTACTTGCACAACTTTCAAAGCATGTGGTACAATCAGTCCACATACAAAGAGTTCCAGGCAAATGACAGTCCGCACATATTCTGCAAGAATAACAAATAAAATTCAACCATTTAGTTTCACCCCCTCAAATTAATCTTTCTAATGTGCATACAAGCCAGTATATGATAAGAAGATTTATCTATTTCTCCATAAACAAAATTTTTACATGGACATTCTGTATTTGAAGGGTGGAAAAAGCCCGCTTTACAGAACCAATTATAAGACATTCTTAAAGTCTTTCAACAAATACAGCTGACAAATCCCAGCTGACAAATCCAGCATACACTGTTCTTCCACATAAAGGAAATCTACCAAAGATATCACACTACTCATCAAATAAATTGCCTTTGAAATACTATTTTCATGCTTTCTCTTTGCGTATATTAGAGGAACCTTAAAACAACTATATTAGTTTTCCACAAATTTTTCATTGATTTCTACCTTTATGGAACTATGGCCTTAATATTTTGGCACATACAGTAACTTTATGTGTGTGTGTGTGTAGCTCTCTCCCTCTCACCTCCTTCCCTCCCTCCCCACCTTTATATGAGTGTGTGTCTTCACAAGCACACATGCATAATAAGGAAAAATAAGGGGATAAACCTTTTTTTTTTTTTGCAGATAAAATGGGCAATAAACGTTCAAATATGCTCACAAGGACATGAGTTGCCAAAAATGTCCAAGTAGAAGTGAAAAATTCAGAACCAAGAAGTTTAATTGACAACAAATTTTAACTCACTGCTTCCAGATCACTCCTATCACAAGTCCTATAAAAAATAACCACCAAAAGGAAAAGGTTTTTAATCAAGAATAGCAACATGAATTCAACTAGACAACAGATTAAAAATAGGATCACAACTGAAGTGCATCAACTTTGTCAATCAAGACAAATAACAGAGAAGAATTTTACCCAGGCTGACAGCAACAAAGACATAATTCTCGACAAGGTTGAGCCAAATCATTGCGCACTCTTCGGTCATAGCAAGTAATGAAGCATCCAGATAATCCCAGCAAAGCAAAAAATAGTAGTGCTCCTGTAGCCAACAATATATTCATGGGATTACAGGCAGCAAGAGCAGCTTTAAGATTATGGCAGAAAAATAAAATTAACCAAAAACGGAGATATCCAGGAAATGCGTATTTCAATTCATAGACACATGGATATTCCTACTGCCATCATTGGCTAGAAGCCTAAGGGGGTCTGGTCCCAACATCTTGGTTGACTTCAACCCAGCCATTTGGATCTTGAATTTTACTAATTAGCAACTACCCAATATATGCAATTTCTTACAGTCAACAACTTTCTGTTAAAATGAAAAATTTAAAGTCCTCACACATCACTTAATTTTTACCCCCAAAAAATTACCCAAATACAAAACCTTATATAAAATTTATCCCAACGCCACGATGGATAACAACTATATCTTAATAGAAATGGATAATTTCATTGGCCCCCAAAAATTTGGCTTAAAGACAGACAGATGCAGATTTTGTGTTTCTTGTTGATGATCTTGCTTGAAAGATTAATTAGAAATCTCCCCAGTACATGCTAGAAACACACCCGGGAGTTTTTTAGAAACCTCCCTGGAGGTTGTTCACAAAAGAATGGAAATTTTGTGTCCACTTTACAAAGATCAAACCTTCTAAGTAAAGGGTACATCAAAAAATTCAACTTAGTAACCAATGCTATCATTCTGTGATACCATTAGCAGGACAAAAAAAAATTCTAGAAAATCAAATAAATCCCAAAGCCATTAACATGATAATGATGAAAGAAAAAACAAATTGTACTATAGCACATTAACAAGACAAATATGATGAACAACACGGCTGATCATAAACATGCAGAAGCTCTTAATCAGCGTTACTTTTTAAGGTTCTTGAGACTTTACCACATATGTAGTAGAAACTGAGCTCACTGTCAAAACTCCAAGCCACACGAAGCCAGGACTGCCGGTAATTATCAATTAAATACACCAAATATGCCAGTGAAGCAATTACCTGACAACAACGGATATAGCAACATGGGAATTAAAACCCGGAGTTTACAATTATGAATGTAATAATAAACACAAGAGCAATTAAAAAAAAAAAAAAAAAAAATAGAGAACCAACAACTTACAATCTGAACAGCCAGAAATATAGATAAAATGTCTCTGGTCACAAAGAAGCGAAATTTCAAGGTTCGCCATCGCCTATCAGCAGCAACATGAACTCTCAAATGGTAAGGGGCTTTGCAGGTTGTGCAATGAGCAAATGCAAACCCTTCCTGCATTACATTTAATTAGATAAAAATTAGGCACAACTAAACTGCACTAATGCTAGTAAGACATAACAATAATCAGCATGTAGTGGCCATACAGAAAAAAACTGAGCTTAAAAAAATCATAAATAAGCTTACTAGCATTGATTCTTAATTAAAATGCAGAAAATGAAGATGGCAACCATACCCTTACAGCTCGCCAATGATCCAAACACTCTCGGTGTACATACTTTGAAGTTCCTTTGCACTTGCAAGGAGCAATAAAATCCCTACCTGAAGAGAGTACACAAAAGCAGCTCAAATAACAGATAACCACGCTATAACAGCTACATAAAATAAGAGTCAAAACAATGAACTCAACCCAAAAATGAATGTTTTATCATAAAGTTTATCTTATCAAGAAATATTTATATATTCTCTATTACATTATCATTATCAGTGAAGATTATCATCACCAAATTGTTGTATGTTATCATCTTTACTAAGAGTCTTGCAAAGGAGTTTTGTTCATTATTATTCTTAGAATTGCAGTTCAAGTTTCCGCCATTCTCAGAATCAATTTTGACTTGAAATAAATGCAATCACATCCCCCGAAACTCCTAAATCGTCAAAAAAAATTGCGGTGAACGAAATTTAATTAACTTTATAGTGAATGAATTTACCCAACAAAATTTATACAAAGCAATCTCTTTTCTTCATTCACACTCACTATAAGCAATTTCTGAACTAAACCCCAACTGCCAAAAGCACTTCCGGTTACCTAAAAGCACTTTGTTTTACTTTTGCCTAATTCCAAACAGACAAAACCGCTGTCCAACCACTCAACAAACACTACCAAATTTCAAGACTAAATTCATCTAAACGAACACCAAAACGCGTCGTTTAAGATAAAACTAAAACAAATTACCGTCAGTTTCGAGACAAATTCGACACTGAATTTGTTCGCCGGGGCCGGCCTCCAGGTCGATCTCGCTGGGCTCCACCGGCGTCGGAGCCATGAGCGGCGAAGCGTCCGATTGGTCGGCCATTGACTCGAATTCCAACAACAAACGGCGAGCGAGAGAGAGAAGAAGAAGGAAAGATCGATAATTTACAGAAAATTAATCAACTAATTTTCATTTTGACGAAGAAACGATAAAATCAAAATCAAAATTTAAAATTTAAAAGAAGAAACCCTAGAATTTTAGAATGTAAATTTAAATGTATTTATTTAATTAAAATATTTTGTTAATTTTGATGATTCTTTTTCTCCCCCTCTCTCTCTCTCGCTCTCTGTAAGAGAAATTTTCATTTTCAAAGGAGGGATTTCAGATGTTGTAATTTGAGGGAGAGAAAAGTTTGCCGTGAACAAGGTGGGATACGCGAAATTCCAGAATTAGCCTTGGTTTTTTTTCTTGTTTGACTATTGTGTCCCTCAAAGTTTGGTAAATATGTTTTCTTTTTTACGATAAATGCTTGAATTGGATAGTCTTACAATTCTTCTCCCGTCTCACCTCGGGGTAAGAAAGAAAGACGAAAGAATTTGGGGATTTTTGTTTTAACTGATGCGGTTATGTGACCAGCCCGGTTGGACAAGCGGTTCACTACTGTTCACCCGATCCAAGTCCGATTCAAATAGGGTCAAATGTTATTATCGATTTTTATTATAATAATAGGTAGTTGGTTCCTAGTCGAACCAGTCCAACCGATTGGTTTTGTCTAGGTTTTAAATCTTTGATGTAGAAGGTTATCTAACGAAATACACTAGTAGGTAAAGTAACATAGAGAGAAATACACCGATAATTACACTAGCATCTTATTTCACTTATGTAATATGACATATTCTCATTGGTTGATTAAATTATAACAGGAAAAATCACTGGAGGATACGGTGAGATATAGAATAGCTGGTAGATAAATGAGGTAAGATACAATGAGACAGAGAAATTATAAAAGAAAATATAATATGTATAAAACACGAGAATAAGTGAGACATATAAAAGAATACAAAAATATCTGAAAAATTACTATAGATATTTTATTTATACTAGTATCAATAATGTTATCAAATTATGAACAAACAATTCAAGATTTTTATTTCTAACTAAATTTGAAAAAGAAATTCTAAAACTAAAATATAATTGAAATTTTTACTATAATTTATTAAAAAATGAAAAATGAAAAATTTGTCTGAGCCCGGGTTCGAACCGGGGACCTCTAGTGTGTGAGACTAGCGTGATAACCAACTACACCACCCAGACAGCTGTGATGCACCGGCAAATTTTAATGATTTCAATACGGCGCCGGTTTACCATCTTATATTATCCGGAAACACCCTGCACTGAACTGATACTAAAAGGAACCCGAAATCTCGTCTACTCAACTTCGAATCCTCTCTCTCCGCAACAATGACCAGAACCACCAAAGCCAAGAAACTTAAACCGTCCATCACCGCCACTAGAAAACCCACAAAAAAAATCCTTAAAAAAGAGCCCAAATCTGTACAAAAACCGGAGAAGAGCAAACCCGAGACGAGAATATCGGACTCCGATTCCGAAGCCGATACCGATAAGCTTACAGCGCTCCTAGAGCCCTACTCGAAAGACCAGCTCATAAACCTTATTTCCGCCGCCGCCGTCACCAACTCCGCCCTCTTTGATCACCTTCGAGCCGCGGCCGACCGCGACGTTACCCACCGGAAACTCTTCGTTCACGGACTCGGGTGGGACACGACGCCGGAGACGCTGAAATCGGCGTTTGAAAATTTCGGCGAGATCGAAGATTTGAAGCTCGTGACGGATAAAGTAACCGGAAAGGCGAAAGGGTTCGCCTTTATCGTATTTAAGACCCGAAAATCGACCGAGAAAGCGCTCCAAAACCCCCAGAAAAAGATCAACAACCGAATTGTGTCGTGGCAGCTGGCTTCTGTGGGCCCCACGGCTCCCCCCGCCGCCGTTGCGAAGGAGGGAAAGGACCAAAGTATTATTAATAATAATAATAACAGTAATGGGGTTGGGGAGAAGAAGATTTATGTGAGTAATGTACAAAGGGATGTTGATAAGGAGACATTGAAGGTCTTCTTTGAAAGATTTGGAGAGATTGAAACGGGGCCCTTTGGGTTCGATGTGAACACTGGCAAGTCAAGAGGGTTTGCCATTTTTGTGTATAAGACTGTGGAGGGGGCGAGAAAGGCATTAGAGGAACCGGTGAAGGTGTTTCAAGGTCACCAATTGCATTGCCAGAAAGCAGCTGAAGGGAAGAACAAAAATCATAGTAAAGCCCATTTCTCGCAACAAGTACGTGTCATAAATTTCGAATTTTGTAATGTCTTTTATTTGCAGGTTTTTCCTATTATTGCTGTTGCAAGTTTTAGATTGTATGGTATACTTGATGGTGTTAAAAGTTTGAATTTTTTTACATGTTATAATCGAAATTTGCTTAGTTATACATGTTTAAGATTTCGATATTCTAGTTTTACACTGTTTTTGCGACTTTTGGATTGTGTGTTATGGTTGATGTTGTTAAAAGTTTAATATTTTATATGTTTTAAGTGAATTTACTGTGAAAGCAGCTGAGGGGAAGGACAAGAATCACAGTAAAGCCCATTTTTCAGTACCAGTTTGTGTTGAAAATTTCAAATTTTGCAATTTCTTTTACTTACAGGTTTTTCGTATTCTTGTTGCAAGTTTAGATTGTGGGTTGTAGTTGATGTTGTTTAAAGTTTCAATTATTTTATGTTATATGTGGAATTTAGCAGGTTATGCATGTTTGCAAGTTTTTTGATATTACAAGTTCTACACTGCATATGATAAGAAGATTTAGATTGTGTCTTATAGTTTATGGTGTTAAAAGTTTGATATTTTGTATGTTATAAGTGAAATTGACTTTGTTATGCATGTTTGAGGTTCGAAATTATAAGTTTTAGGCTGTATATGGTGAGTCATCCAGGTGTCCTTGCAAGTTTTAGAATGTATGTTATAGGTGATGGTGTTAGAAGTTTGATATTTTATATGTTAAACAAGTGCAATTTAGTAAGCTATTCATGTTTGGAGTATGATATTATCAGTTTTATGCTGCAGATGATAAGTTATACAGGTGTTGTTGAAAGTTTTAGTTTTTTATGTTAAGTTGATGTGTGTTAAAGGTTAGTGTTTTCTAGGGTGTTAGTAGCATTAAGTGTATGATAGTATTTGTTTTGATGGTAATAGTAATGATATTTGTTTTGATGGTAATAGTAATGGTATTTGTTTAGTAGTACTAGTTTCAAGTTTTATGTTATAAGTCTTACTGGTATGGTAGAATTTATTCTGAAGGCAAGAATAGTAATTTGTGAGGTGCTCATTGTGCAGGGACAGCAAACGGTGCAAGGGCAGCAAACGGTGCAAGGGCAGCAAATGGTGCGAGGGCATCATCAGGGGCAGGGGCAAGGGCAAATACAGGATCAAAGCCAGATGCTTGCTGCCATGGCAGCTGCACAGAATTTGGCATTGTTTGGGCAGCATCCAGGATTGAATCCGGTTTATGGAGGATTATTTGCGAATCCTGGATTGATTAATCCAATGGTGGCCGGGGCATTGAATCAAGGTGTTGTGCCTTCTAGCCATGTGCCTGTAGGTACAGTAGGTGGCTTAGGATCATATGGGACTGGTCAGAATTTGCAGCATGTTTACCCAAATGCACAGGGTAGAACTCAGGGGACCGGTGGGTCGTTTCCTGGTTATACACCATCTTACTTGTGGTATGGTTTACAGATATCTTTGTTTGATTTGCTTTGTGGATTTTATGTGTTCTTTTTTCTGAATTTAAGAGGCCTTTGTTTCATGATTTTAAACAGTTGACAAAAACTTGGATACACAAATCTCAAAATTAATCTCAGTATTTTTTTATTAAAAAGAAAAAAAGCCATTTGATATTATCGAAAAACTGTTTTCAACTTTAAACCATGGAAAATATAGAAAACAACATTCTTTTTCGTTTTCAACTTTTGCAATAGAATTTACATTGCATCTGAAAACTACATCCGGAAACATATTAAGTTTCCACAAATTTCTCATATATTATTATTTTTAGAATAAAGAATTGTATTACAATCTAAGCCAAATGAATCCTTAAGGTTTTCTGCATGTATAGTTTTGATTTTTGGCTCTTTTGCAATGTTTGTTGGTTTAATAGTCATTTAAAAAAAATGGTTAATATATAGATTTGAATCACAAAATATTTGACTAATTTCTCTTGGTTTTCAATTTTTTTTTAAGGAATTGATAGATGAATCTATGGATTGATTTAATTAGATTTTGTTATGATTTTTATATTTATATTTATATTTTCCCTCTTAACATCTTTTCCACTATTCATCTAATGATTTCACTGGATGTTAACCCTGATTTTTTGAATTATTTTTCAAGGCCTTGCTCTGTTTGGGTTTTATCTGGTTCTGATAATTATCTAGCTCCTCAATGATACTTTCAACCTGTTGTTTGTTCATTCTTTTGCTATACCTCATTGTGTTTGAGATTTAGTTCTTAATGCTATTCCCCTTTTTCTATCTTTCACTTATGACGAAACCGTTGAACTACCTTGGGAGATTGTAACAGTTCATTGGGTGCACCAATGCTTTGGAATCCGCCTTGTGCTTTTTTTTCTACAATTCCTCATATTCTTGTGTAAACTCTGCCGGAAAAGTTACAAAATTACAATCTTTATTTTTGCATAAAATCAGCACTGGTCCCCTCTCTTGTGCAATGATGCCTTCATCCTTTTAAAAAATTTAACATCTTATATTCTTGTTTATCTTGATTCCTCTTCTTCCTAGACTTATCTTCCCTTTCTTTGAGCAGTCACTCTTTACACAGATGCAATTCGTATTTTCTTATGGTGAAGGAATCTTCTCATCTCATTTTGTCATTTTTTCGAATGAGTTTTTGCAAGAGTGCTTTCTTAGCCCTTTTTTCTTTCTTCAACTTATGTCTGTCAAGACATGGAATTATCAACCTATTAATTACTTTGGTTTGTACTTTTTAACTGTTTTGGGTTAATACCATGTCTGATTTTACATTTAGAAGCATTACTTCTTAAAAAGTTTTATGATGTTATTAAAGAGGCCAATTATTTTTTGTGTTATTTTATTGTCATTACATGTTTGGGTTGTGTACTTGCAGATGATTTTCAGCCAAGCTTTGAGGAACAATATTCATGCCACTTTGGGGGATTTTATCTAGTTTTGTTGTGGGTCAATTGCGAAGTTTGTGAACTTTTCATATGCTTCATAATTTTGAGTTTACCGAAGCTCGGCCATAACTTGGTGGGCCTTTTCTTCTTCTTTCACCTTACCGTCTTTTTTCTTTCAATTTTTCTCTTTTTGACTTCTTATCTTTATCTTCTTCTTCATGACTTTCTTGGAACTTCTTTTCTTGTAAGAATTTGTGACTTTTGGTATTTCTTTACATTTACGGTCTACATTTATCTTCAATATTCAGTTTTTTAATTTTAAAGTGTATTTGAATGTCGCATTAAGATTTTTTTTCTTTTTTCTTTTGCTATCATTTCCATGATCATTTGGGTTGTGATTTGCCCACAGATGTTCTATATTTTTATTTGATGTCATTTCTTTTCTCGAAGTTATTAATTACTTTGCTTTAGTTGAATACTTAGTCCCAGTTACATCTGTTATTTGGTCGTTTGAGATTTTTCTGACATCTAATATATTTCTCAGATCTGAGGTGGTTTAGGTTTTGATTTAAAGGATATCCATGTGCAGTTTTCTGCATGTATAAGACTTATTTGCTCCCTTTTTTGTTCATATTCATCTTATGTTTCTATGTATGAAATTTTTCAATCTGGGATTCCAATTGGTGTTTTTTGGATCTAAAGTAAGTGCATTTGCGAAACTCAAAATTGTTTTTATTTCGCTAAAAACATTCTTTGATCTATTTTTAGGTGTTTTTTGTTCAAGTAGATAAACTCTTCTTATTTCTTTAGAAAGTTTTTACTCGAGCTTTTTTTGCCGAAAGTCGTTTTATACAAAATCGTTTTTTACTTAAAACATTTCCAAATGCATTGGAAACTGCTTTCAGGTTTTAAACTTTAAAACAAATCTTGTGCTTTTAAGATGCATAAATTTGATGAATTATAAGAATCTTATTTGTTAGTCTTTCGATACCTTCATTTGTTTACTTATGCATCAAAATGAAAGGTAAACTATTTCACGATCGAGGTTTAGTCGAGTTTAATTCACCACATACTTGGTTCTATAATTTGTATTAACATAGTTTTTTTTCCTTTTGTTACAAACATCCGGTTTATGTTTAATCTTTTGAGGTTTGAAAAGATTTGATGCACTTTTAAGTAAGAATTTTATACATATATTTATTTACTTATTCAAGCATGAAGAAGATCGAGGTTTAATTGAGTCGAGTTCACTGTTTATGTGGTTCATTAATTTGTTTAAACATAGATTTTATACATTTTCCTTGACAAATATCCATCTTTGGGTTTATATTTAATCTTCTGAGGTGTGCAAAAATTTTATGCATTTTGAAGTAAGAAACTTATGTATTAGTCTTTTGTTACACATTTGTTTACTAATTCAAGCATGAAAATTAATGCAAACTTATTTCGTGATCGAGTTTTAGTTGAGTCGAGTGGAGATCATCGCATATGCGGTTCATCAATTTGTTTAAACATAGTTTTTATACGTTTTCCATTTGTTACAAACATCAATATCTGGGTTTGTGTTTAATCTTTTGAGATGTGAAAAAAAAAAAAAATTGATGCACCATTTCGAAGTAAGAAGCTTATTTGTTAGTCCTTTGATACATGCATTTGTTCACTTATTCAAGCATGAAAATGAAGGTAACGATATTTCGTGATCGAGTTTTAGTCGAATCGAGTTCGTTCGAGTTCATTTGATTGGGAGATAGTTTGTTATGGGGTTTCCTTTTGTTACAAAAATCCAAATTTGGTTTATGTAAATGTTTAAACATTTGTGCGCAAAGAGATGATAAATATTTTTACCCTTGTTTGATGTATGATCACTCGTTTCAATATTGACTCGATAGCATTATCAGGTTGATACTAACCGTTAGATCATCGTAGATTCTCATTTCGTATGTTGATCTAATGGTTGTAGCGATCAGACTTTTGCCAAATTATATTGTATCGCTCAATTATATATACAAGTTTGACATTATTAGTACTTTTTTTTCAAAACATAAAAAGAATTAGATTGTACATTTCAATTGCCCAAACCTACGTTCAAATTTGTACGTGGTAAAAGCACCTTCAAATAGACAAAAATGCTTTCTTGCAAATGTAGTAACCATTGATTAAAACAATGGCTTTTCAAGAGCATAGAAGTTTTTGAAGCAGAAGCACTTTCTGCAAATTGTCTTCAACGTTATCAATCAATCAAGCATTCTAAATAGAGAAAAATAAAACGCTTTCATTGTCCAAACTCCAAAGCACTTTTTTAAAAAGTTGTAAAATTGATGTTGTTCTTCAATCCATGGGACCAGAAAAGCACTTAATTTTAAAAATTCAGCTTCTTTAAACCTTAATGTGAACACTTTCTTTGCTAATTCAATATTGAACCTCAAAAGAAATATGAAAGAAGATTAGTAAAAATAACATGCCATTAGATCTAAGGAAACTAATTAAAAGTAGCTAATCATAAAAATAATAATCATAATTATCACAATATTTTTTTTTTTCCGACTTAATCGACGCCACGGCTCGAAGTTCTACAGTACTCTAATTCGTGCAAGAAAAATAAGATAATTATGCTAAAAAGCATGGTCCTAAATATGGCCTCCTCCCTCATAAGCTAAAAATATTAACCATGAAGTTAAGAGGAATAAGTCACATAGAAACACAGTATTTTTAAGAGGAGGCCCCTAGCATTTTTGTTTTCAAACTTTACTTCTTCCTCTTCTTTGGGGGCTGAAGTGCTTCCTCGTCTTCATCTTCCTCATCCTCTTCATTCTCCACGTCTTCAACTTCCTCCTCTTCATCATCCCCGTTGTCATCGTCGTCATCGTCATCATCGTCGTCGTCGTCATCATCATCTTCATCTGGGTCTTCACCGACCCCATCCTCTTCATCATCGTCATCCTCTCCATTCTCCTCAGCTCCACCGCCCGGCGCATCCCCAGCAGGCGCCTTCTTCGAGTTACTGTTATTGTTGTTGTTGTTGGGGGGGTTATTGCCATACCCATCCTCGGACGACAATTCCTCTTCACCTTCGCCTTCGTCAAATCCGCCGTCCCCATCCTCATCGTCATCCCCATTGCCATCATTCGCATCATCAGCATCAAACGCCGCACCTTGGGCTTCTACATCCCCCTTAATTCTAGGTTTGGTACACATCAAAGCCCCAAAAAGATCCTGAAAACCTTTTGCATCAAGTACATTCCACAACCAGACCCAACACACAAAAGTGACATAAAAGAGAATATTGGATATGTTATTCAAACAGAAAAACAGAGGATAATAAAAGTAGAAGTGGCAGTGTAATATGCTTCCACCACTGAGGGAAAAAGAAAAATATGCTTCTGCTTAAAGTATGGGGCATCTAATTGCATTCAAACATATATTCTGCATCTTACTGTGAGAATATATTCTTCTAAAGTACTACAGTATTGAGTTCACCGAACCTTTGGATACCGAAATAGACGAAACCGGAATGACCGGTGCGGTGGCAAATTCCAGGAGTCAGATATTTTTCATTAGTAGACAAAAGAAACTAAAGATTCTAAGCTATAATAACATAAAAGAAATTGACATTTCCATGGAATAATATCTTCTTTCACATCTTTATCAACTTTTGATCATTCATGCATTTATCAAAATATCTAAATCCTACATTTGACACACAAAAATAATGCCTTAAATATCTTGTAAAAGATGTCGAAATACAAAATTTTAATCATATCAATACATTTTGACTGGACTCGACAGGACCCTTTTGGAACCCAATAAAATAAAAGAAATATTTCCTTTAAAACGACATTTTTAAGGGTTTTAAATCTGCTTCTTAAAAATGCGATTTTTGTCAACCAAGCATTATTAAATAAGCAAACAAAATAGTACTTTTCACTGTATCCAAAGCCAACACAACACACAAGTAGATGCTTCTACAATCTAAACCTGCCACGTGTCCAACAACAAGAACAAAAGAAGCATCTCAGAAACGAATATTCCTATCCCGCCTTCATCAAAAATAAAAAAATACTTGTAGAAAAAGCAAATTTCCTGTTCTGCTTTTGACTTTTCTTAGTTATAAAATATTATCAAAATTATAGAGAAAAACATTTTTTTTACTATCTCACGTGCGCACCACGTGCGGTTGAAACCCTGGAACTCAAACCGCCCTCTCAAAAATTCTTAACCATCTCTCCCCAGTTCCGCAATTGCCTCCTAAAATATCCCCGGCGCACATTAGCGCCACCGGCATATTTAACAACTTTTTGAAAAAATTACTAAATTAAATTCGTTAAATTATATGCTAAAAATATCTTTGACTAAATAGAAAAAAAATAAATAAATAAAACCTTCGTAAATCGAAAATTCCTAGTACGCGCAGTAGACATGAAATTATTATCAAAATATATATATAAAAAAAATCTTTCTTTATTCGTTAAAATTACTTAAAATACAAAAATATCTCTTCAAATATTAAAAAAATATGTAAACATAATGATAAAATTTGAATCAACTCACGCAGGTTAGCGGATACGAGCATACTAGCACAAACGGTAAAAAAAAAAGAGAACCAGAACTATACAATTTACGAAGGCAAGCAAAGAGAGCAGAAGAAGGGGAAAATAATATAAAAAGACGAAGGAGAGGCGCAAGTTAGCGTTACCTGAGCAGTTAAAACTCGAGTTTTGAGGAGAGTAGACACCAGCAGAGCCACGAGAGCCTCCGCGGCGCACCTTAGCGAGCCGTTATTATTAACCGTAACCGTCACTGGACCGTGGTTGTGACTCTCCATTTGTACGGAACAAAACAAAAACTGAAACAATAGAAACCTGAAAAACAAAAAAAAAAGACGTAAAGCCGTCAGATCTTCGTCTGCGACAACCTAGTCGTCAGATTCCACAGTTACCATACACTAAAGACAAAGCAACAACAAAAATAGAAAAAAAAAAAAAATAGAAAATGTTTTCAGAAAACAGTAAAGAGAAACGAAAACAAAAACAAGAAAATAAAGTAAACGAACAATTTCACGGTGTTACTTTCGCAGCAGAAGTCATAAACACAGAAAATATTTTCCAATTTTAGTAATAAATTAAATTATTCAAAAAATTTACTCTCACAGCACACAAGAAGTTTCCTAATAATAGTAAAATTCGAAATTAAAAAAATAAAAATAAAACGAAATAAAATTCTCATACCACCACAAGAAACAACTTTAAGTTTCTCGGAGAAGAAATTGAATTCTGAATTTGTAAAAAATTTCACGAAAATTCAACGAAAACAAGAAGTGAAACGTCAATTCGCCGAGAATTCCGGCAAATTTGCCGGAATTTCGGAGAGAAGAGAGAGGAAGAACGTACCGGAGGGAGGAGATCTGAGAGAGGAGGGAGATCTGAGGGGAAAAAGAAAGGAGGGAGGGACTAAAACGAGCGTAGAGAGGGGAGGATCATTGTGGACCGTCGGATCTTGAGATGATGATGATGATGATGGAGTAAAAGGAGGAAGAGATTAATAGAGAAGAATAAAATCAGAGAGCGGGGAGGGAGAGAGTGAGAGAGAGACTGACTTGCTTTGGTTGCTGCTGCCCGTAATTTTTCCAGAGCAGGGTTCGGGCTGGACGGGCAGGCGCTATGGGTTCGTGGAAAAAAATGACCTATGGGTTCGGGCTGCCCGAATTGGCAGGTATGGTATGGACAAGTGTGGGTTTGAACCAATTTTTATTATTTCTTTCTTCGTTTTGGATTATCATTTGGACATCCTAAAGTTGGCCCTAATTTCAATAAATAAATATATATTAAATCGTTTATATTATTTGAAAAAAAAAATACTTGTATTGTGTAATTAATTACGATATAAAATGTATTAGAGTCAATTTTTCACGTATAAATTTTGTATATAAACTTTTTTAATAGTTTTTATTTCAATGTACGAGATTGGCTCCCTAGTGCTCATAGCACATAACGAACAATACCTATTTGATTGGATTTGCGATTTGTCACTTACTTTTTGAAAATATCTCATATTCCTATTTAGTTGACTTTTTTATTCTTATAGGTCTTATTCACTCTAAGTCACATAAATTTGTATAAAAACTTTTATCAATAATGAAGGTTGTACTTGTTATCTTGTATAAATAGAGTCTACTGCCATTTCTCCTCGAAGTTTTTTTTCTAATTTCCTTCAATAAGTATCTAAAACAAAAATTTACTCTAATTGATGTAATATGTGTTATTCGATTAACAGAAACTCTAATGTGACGATACCAAATAAATCATTATTTTATATACCTGACAAATAATTCTCTATAATAAAATTAATGCAACGTTTCTCTTCAGTCGAGCCTCGTGAAATAAGGATTTCTTTTCTTAAGTATAATGTCGGTTTTCCATTAGATTTTTTATCTTTAATCTAATAGATGAAGGATAGTAAATACTAGTTAGCTGACAAAAACCCTAACGAATCATTAGTGATGCAATAGACCTCTACTATTAGGGTTTTTTTGATAGATTATAAACCTCGTGGATCTTTTGAATATTTTCCCTTCAAATAAATCTTGACCGACTTTATAAATAAAATTTTTTAAAGACTCATAAGAATCACGTGTCCTTTTGTCCTTGGGCAGTGATTTATGATACGTCACTGCCGTCACTGCCATGCCTGGTTACAAAACCAAGAGTAAGGTTTAACTAGGGTTAACTAACTTAACTGGGCAGTTAAGTCAAGGATACGAGGTGTAGTTTGTTTGTTAGGTAGTGGGGTTTTGTTTAACGTTCACCCACTTCCCACTTTGGTCCCACTGTTTTTAATTTATTTCTAATCTTTGATTAATTTATAAGTTAGGTTTTTTTAAATGATAATTAATTAGTTTTTTTATTCATATTATGTAAATTAAATTTATATTCATAACATGAAAATCACATTTTTTTTTTCACAAATAATATCCTATTAACATTTAATTATAATATTTATTAAGTAAAATTACAATCAACTAAGATTATGAGGTTGGTCGAGAGTTATACGACAAAAAAGATTATTGATCATTGATTCACATCTGATCTAATGATTTAGAAGTTATTGATGTGACATTAAAAGAATTATTTAAAATTTTAAATTGTGAATATATATATATTAAAAACATTATCTTATACAAATGTGTAAATCTTATATAGAATTTGAATTGCAATCGATTGATGTCCATGAATATTAAAAGATGAAATTTTTGCATTCCTTCAAATTATTTAATTCAAATTTTGTCTTATAATGTTCGTTAACAACAACTAAAAAGATTCATATTTTAAAAAACTCCGAATATTACATATGAAAAGTCGAGGATTATTATTGGTGGACCTAATCTTATATTAATAATTGAATGTGGAAGTGATACAAAACTTAGGTTTTAATTAATTATTTTTTTTAAAGAAAAAATATATAAAAAAATATTTAAATTCCTTAAAAAAAATTGTGAAATTTTTATCTAAAAATTATTTTCTTAAAAATCAAGTTTTATTTCCATAATTAATAAAAATATATTTTTGATTAAAAAAAAAAATACCTAGTTTTCGAGCCAGGTAGTGGGCCGGGTATGGGACTGAACTACTTGCTTTTTGGGCCGGGCCGAGGAGAGCCCAATGTTTGTATGATATGTAGATGTTATTATGTAATTGGTAATTACTTATAATAATAAAAATATTAAATTTATTATTGTTATTAATTATTATCATAACACAAATGTAGTTTGTCTACCCACTACTCAATATAAAATTTCCAAGTATGATTTTAATAATATGGTCGGAAAGGAAATTATAAAATAAAAATTTGAACTTTTCAAAGTACAATATTAGGCCTTCAAAAAATATTAATAGTTTATTATTTGGCTTGAATATATTAAACCTAATTATTAGATATTATTTGAATTCTTTATTTGGTTATCCTAAACCCTAAGTTAGGTTTATACTTTTGATTGGATTCAAGTTGCTTCTTGGTTGTATTAATTATAATATATGTTTGGAATCTTTTCAAGTTTAAAATTAGATACGAATTTTTAGTTATCAATTTTTTTTTTAAGTCAAAGGTAAACGGAGTTGTTGATTATTATTATTATTATTTTTTTTTTGTGTTGAAATTTTAAGTTGGAGTTTGTTGATGGCCAATTTTTTTTTCAGAGGAAGCTCAGTCATGTATTTAGGGCCCACTCACATAATTAAGGTTCCAATTAAGGTACAAAGTTACAACTTAAGCCTTAAAACTAAGTTTTGGGCCCAAATTACTATTTTTAGACCCCTTAAAAGCGTATCACATGATGATACTGCTGTTAAAGTTTATTAAGAGCCTAGTTAGTAAATACGGATACGACAAAAAAATGGTACAAAAATTTTACGGATATGATATAGTAAATGGTGAAAAATACGTTTGTTAGAATTCGATCATAAAATTTGGATACGGAAAAAATACGGTACGGGTTTAATATGGCATATTATCAATAATATGTTTTGAAAAATACGGCAATATCAATCCTAGTTTTAGTACTTTTCATAGGCCATTTGATTAAAATCTATATAGCATTTCAAATATACGGGTACAGCAAAAAAAAAGGTACGAGAATTTTATGGGTATGATACGGCAAATAGTAAAAAATACGTTTGTAAAAATTCAGTAAAAATTCAGATACGGGAATAATTCCCGAATAATACGACTGAGGCATATAATTTGTGAATAATACGGTTAGGTTGATAAAATATGGTAGTTCATGAATAATAACTGAATTATATGACTAGGCGTATAATTCGTGAATAATACGCGAATTTACTAATTAGGATCAAGAGATAGCACAAATTGTCCCATGAAACTTGGAAACCAACCAAAACAAAAGTTTATTCAAGTTTAAGCCCACTTTGGCTAGTTTTGAATTTTTACAGTGAAGCCCAGCCCATTGAGCCCATTGAGGTTTTTCAATTAACATTACGGTTATAATGAGTAGATTTTCATTTCGGCAATATCATAATTACGATAAAGACTTTAGTGGTCCGTAATAGTTCTACTCCAGAATATAAAACTTAGCAAAGAAGATCGAGATTTTATTCTGTAAATTTGAATAATATCTTTTTTTTTTTATTAATATTAACTTCTAAAAAGGTTTAAACTCTTTTGAGTTTCCTTGTAATGGTTGATTTGCTTTTGCAATTGCCTCGCTACCAAACTTTCTTTTTATGACCAAAAAATATATATATATATATTTTTTTTAAAGAAAAAGAGGACTTTTTTAATATTAATAATTAATTATAAGAAACCTAAAAAAAGATTATAATATAAGTTTCATATAAATAATAATTTATTAAAAAAATTATAATATGAATAAATTTTAGATAGTATCTATAAAGATTACAAAGTGTTAAACCTTACACCTAAGGGCTAAGAGGATAAGTTAGATTTGTTCATCATAGATTTGTACTTTGATCAACTTAATCTCATAAAACATTGTAAAACTATTTAGATAACATTTTTTGATATTAAATAATAAATTTTCTCGTATCAAACTTAAAATAAGAAAAGTTATATAAAGTAACCAAATGCCTCATATTTCACGAAACCTAAAAAAAAAAAATATAATAAGTACACATAAGAAAGACGAAGAAAAGTTCCTTTTGACATAAAGAAATATATGGTTATGATTTTTTAACGTAAAATTTTGACTTCAATTGCCAATCAATCTCATCGATGAGTGTATAAAAAGCTAAACGGTGAGTTGTATGTTATTTTTGAACTTTATATCTTATATAAAGTGTTAGCACGATGAGCAAAATAAATAATTGAAAATTCTGTCAAATTTTAAGTTAAAAAACCTCCACCTTTAATTATATATTTTTGTAATTAATTTTTTTTTTAATTTTTATAATTATGAATTGACTCAATGATAGGAATTATTGAAATTTGAATGTGTTATGGGATTTTATTTACTTTATTTTAGATTTTTATCATCTTATTCTTGAAAAACATGTTAAAATGCTTATGAATATATAAAAATGTAAAAAATGAGTTCATCATTTTAAATATTTAACATAAATTTATTTATTCATTTTTTTTAAAAAGAGTTCTCAAAATCATACAAAAACAACCCATATAGCAAATTATGTAATTTATTTTTTTCTAATTTTATTTATTCACAAAATTAATTTAAAATAATTTTATTTTTGACAGATTTTAAAATAATCGATTAATCAATCAATCAAAGGAGGTGCTGCATGACGTATAGGATGATTTAAAGAACTACAAAGATGGATTTAATTATTTATCAAATCAAATCAAATTTAAAATAAATTTTGAAATATAAATATAAATTATATATGGACGTGAAAGTGACTATCAAAAAAGTCACTTTCATTTTACTTCTTATAATGCAATATGACTTGTACTAATATGATACGTTTTCCTTTTAAATCTGGATCTTCTCCTTGTCTTAATATATCCGCGTGTGATAATTTTGGGCCCATTTGTTATATATCCGCGTGTGATAATTTTGAGCCTATTTGTTTTATTATTTTGAATAAGATTTTGGAAATAATATTTAATAGTTGAAGAAGGGAGTATTACAAGGTAAAATTTAAAAATTTATTAAAAAAAATCCCTAAGTTTGTTAATTTAA